AGGGAGGGGGGGGGAGGGGTTGTTTGTTTTGGCTTTTTTGGGGGGGGGGGTTGGGAGGGAAGTTTTGGGGGGTTTTTTTTTTTTTTTCCTTTTTTGGGGGTGCCGGGGGGTTTTTTTTAAGGGATAATGTGTTTCCGTTTTTGGTTTGGCCTTAAAAATTCCCAAAAAACCGGGTTTTTTGGGGAAAAGGGGGGGGTTTTTTTGTTCCCGGGGGGTCCAAGTTTTTTTTTTTTTTTTTCTGGAAAGGGGAACCGGCGGGAATTTTGGAGGCCCCCTTTTTCCCTTCCCCCCCAAAAAAAAAAAGGGTCGGCTGGGGGGGGTAAAGGTTTTAAAAATTGGGGTTTAAAGGGGGGGGTTGAAAGGCCCCCCCTTTTTGTGCAAGGGTAAAGGTTTAACCCCGGAGGGCAGGAAAAAAAGGGGAAATTCCCCCCCCCCCCCCCCCTACCCCCCCCCAGGACCGAACGGCGATGTCCATCACTCTCGAAGAGGCGCTCCTCTTGGCAGAGACAGCGTCGCAACAATCCCCACCCCGAGATGGCGAATTCGGGGTCGAGGGGCCTGCCGTGACGGTAGCAGCAGCAGCGGCAGCGTCGGGGGGGTGGAGAGCGGCCGAGAGGAGCGGAGCTTTGGCGGACGCGAACGTTTTGCGTGCGCACGGGGCCCGGCTGCTGGTGGCGGAGAAGAACATCGGGCGCCCGCTTTACTCGTTCAACGCCCTGCAGCGGCAGTTTATTCCGGAGCTGTACCAGCCCCCGCCGCAGACCATACAGGACGTCATCACTTCCGCGCTCAACCGCGATTCTTGATTTTGTGGTGTCATGATAGAGAGGTATTTTGTAGCTTTCCCTTTGTTTGCGGCTGTTGTTTGGGTGTTCCTGTACGGCTAGTGGCCGCTTTGGTTGGTGCTTCGTTTTTGCGGGTAGTAGAGGAAGAATGCGACAAGGTCGGGCGCCTACTGCTGTTGCTGTTGCTGCTCACGAGAGCACGACACGTGGCTGATGACCTGTTTGGTAGGTGCATGCCTTGGTTTTTAAAAGGACATTGGCCGGTGACATACGTAGAATAAACGCACACAATGCCGTTGTTTTAACGGGTGTTCCCCTCTGGTGCGGGAGTGACATCGTTTACCCCGTTTTGCCGCGTTTTGCCGCACTGACACAAACCCTCTGATTTTGATCGAATTGGCCATGCGGCAAACTCACGGGCGGATGGGAACGTGGAAGGCACGAACGACCGATAGTTGGTTGGTTGTCATGTGCCCGCTGCTGAGAGCACGTCTCTTTCTGGCAACCGTAATTTGCCGTATGCTGCCTCCACCGCCTATCTGATGTTTGTTTTCATGGTGGCGGTCACATCGAACATGACTTGACACTCGACACACAAGCAAGCTCGTGGGTGCGTTGGATAACATCCAACTGATGTTGTAATCCCGGTTGTGGGACGCAGCAAAGCCATCACCCGCAACAACAGCACTGCTCAACCGCCCCCCGTGCTACTGTAGTAGTACGTTGAGCGAGATGCTGTGCACACTCAAATTTAGTCCACTACACTCGGGAGTTCCTGCTTCGTTCAGCTCTGCACAGAACTCCGCCTTTGTTGCCACGATCTTCGAGGTAGCCCGACGGTATTTGGAAGCCTTGCGCCCCGTCCGCACCTGAGGATCGAAAACATACTACCAAGACCACACACTACCCGGGATATAATATGTGTGTTGAGCGTATTTCGGTGTGGCTTCCTCCCTCTCTCCTATGGCTATCGAAGCGTCTATGATGAGCTTTTTTTTTGCAGACAGCGGAGGAGGGGTGGGAGAAGGCAAAAGGCGCCGCGGGGGTACGCAGATGTGAACGTACCCCCGTGTTTCTACATGGACGAAGCCCCCCGTCCCAAAACAAGGCCCGTTCTGCGTTCCTGGCACACCCACCAGGCACTGCTTGCTGAACTGCTGGCTGTGCGCCCGCCGGAACCATGCGTAGACATTTACTGGCAATAGGGGCGTTGAGTCTCGCGACGGGAGCTGTGGGTTTTTTGTCCACCTCGCTCCTGCCGAGACCATCTTCTAAGCTTGCTGGCAGCAGGTGGCATCATGATCTTTGCAGGATGTGCGCACCGTCTGCTGACGCGCAAGAGGGGGTAGGAGCATCTCAGGCCTTCACCAGGGAGGGATGGATGAAGGTGAGTGGGTGTGGCCTACGGTATAAAATGTATCAGTTCTTGTCCTTGTGTGCGTGTCATGATGTCATGATGTCAACCAAGCGCGGCCAAGCGTCCCTTCATGACACGCGGCATAAATACATGAGGCACACGCGGCAATATAGGCAGTGTATCCATGCTGCGGTACTCATGTGCCATGTGAGTTACATCGGGGATCGTCGGTGTACAACCGCATGGTGGCCGCGGCTTCGTGATGGCAGCAGAGTGGTAGCAGCAGTGCCGATTCTCTATATGTAGCTCGGGGATAATGTGGGCAATTCTTAGCAGAAATAGCGCAGAGTTTCCGGTTGGTTCGAACCGCTGCCTTGGAAAGAGAGGGGGGGCGCCGCTGCCGATGCTTTATCTTCCAGCAGCGTCTGCACTTCGCGAGTAACGTTGTTGGTTTTGCTCCTCCTTTCGCACATCATGCACTCAGCAACAGCTGTTGCAGGCCCTCCCCTGGCTTGCATTTCGTCGCGCGCAGCAGTTCAGTTGGTCGGCCGCAGAGCAAACCTGCCATATTTACTTCATACCAGGAAGCTGATCATCAACTGCAGCAGCGTGGCACCCTGTGCATACTTAGACACACGGCTCACGTACACGGGTTGCTATAACTCCTGTACACTGGCTGAACCCTCGTACCCGACGTGTTGACGGCATTCTAACTGCTCGTGCCCAAGGCACACGCATGAGCGAAAATCTTCGGAATTTTCCTCGCGATGGATTGAGGGCTCCGCTGTCGACCCTGTTGCGGAGAGCGCCAAGCTGGCGTGGGCTGCTCTCGAGAGGGCACGCCGCAGCAGTTCTCGCACAACGGTTACTGATGCAGCGTAGCGTGCCCTTCCGCTGCCCTGGCTACTCAAGCGTGTGAACGGGGTGAAAGACGGGTTGTGTCTTACGTACCTGTTTGAATCACTCGCACCGCTCACGACGAAGTATGTGCAAGCATGGACCACGATGAAACCAATCCCAGAACACAATGGCGAACGAAGTACGGCCTAGTCGAGCTTGACACATGCGTTGCGTCTCGTTCCCTCAACTCGCCCTCGTGTCGAGTCCCACAGGCAACCGCGGCTGCAGCCGCGCTAGGGGTCGGGATCGCTGTGTCCCCTGGTTCGTCGACAGCAGCAGACGGCGGAGCCCCCAAAGGACTGCCCGCCTCGGGGTATTTCGTGCAGCACGCGGTGTTTAAGGTGGGTTGGGGGGTTCAGATTGGTGGCAGTGGCTAAAAGTGATGTGTAGAGTAACCGTCCGTGTAGAGACGACAAGCAGGGGCAAGGCAAAACAATGAGCAACCAACATGCCGGTAATTTTTTCAGTTGCGATGCCACGGCGTTTTCTGCAATTTTTCGCACTTGTATGTCAAGGCACCCCTGTTGACGGATGCAGGACATGGTCTTCCGATGATTTCGTGCCAAGATGAGTTTGTGCTATGATCGTCGACGGTGGGCATGACGGAGCAACAGAAAGACAGGGAGGGTGCCGTGGAATCGGATGCGTGTAGCCTCCAGCATATGTCCGTTCAACTTTCTTTTCTCACTGGAAAATCACAGGGCCCTTCAGCGAGAATCCACTCGGACAATGGTGGAGGGGTGGAAACACACGGCAGTGCGTCTGTACATTTTTCAGCAGCAGTGATTGCACAGTGCATCGCAGTAGGTTACCGAGGGTGGCATGAGGTGCCATACCCCTGAACCGATTTTCAAAGCTCAATTTCTCCACAGCAGGAAGAGTGGCAATGCTGAAAACGGCGGTATTGAAGCCGTCTCGTCGAGAGCTTTCCGAAAACGTATCGTTCCATTCATGCATCGTCTTCGTGGTGAAGTGATCGAACCTTTGAAGAAAGACCCAGGAGTCACGACTAGAAAGAGAACGAGAGAGCCATCAGCGTGTCCCTCTGTCATGATGGACAACCCTCGAGTCGACACAGGCTTTTGATTACACGGAGAACGGAGTTTCGTGATTCCTAGGCCGATGTTTGTTCTGAAATACGACAAACATTTGACGCTCTCTAGCGAATTTTTTTCACTTCTTTAGAAGCCCTGGTACCATCGGCAAGCGTTGTTTTTGGTTGCGCGGCCCCTTGTGTCCCGTTCCGCCATTTTCGTGTGCTGCAACGGCGGCAGGTGCCCGACATGGACGAGGAGGTGAAGTTTTTCACGGAGGGGCTGGGCATGAAGGTCGTGCGGCAGAGGGAGGTGAACGGCGCTCGGAACGTTTTCGTGGCGTATGGGGACGAGAGCCTGCAAAGCAAGGACGGGGGTGAGGGGATGGGCCAGCTGCGCGCAGCCTTGTCTGGTGTGGATTGCACGTCTTGGCGCCTTTCACCGCTTGCCGTGTGTCGCGTAAGATGCCACACCCCCTTGACCGATTCTCGAGAAGCTCAATTGCTCTGCAAGGAAAACAGTGACGGCGGCGTTGGACCCGTCTCTTCGAGAGCCTTCGGAATCGATATCAATTGATCGGAATTGGTATCAATGGATCGGAATCGGTATCAATAGATTGATCAAATAAATCTTGAGAAAACCACCCACGGGCCCGTTGCTCCCAGGTATTCACGAGTGAGGCTTTCCTTGCATGAAATTGTCTGGACTTTATTTTATTGTCATTGTCCTCATTTCAATCAAGAGGCTTACGAACCCTAGGCCTTCAACCCCTCACGCCCCCCCCATGCGACTCGCTGAATACCTCACGGTGCTTCGCGCTTGGTGATGTGAGAGCCTGCTCCAGTGAGAACCCGGCGTGCTCCGTCCCGGCTTTGTAGGGATGCGAGGTCAATGGATGGTCTAACGACTACGGCATGCACGACTATGAGTACCCACACACACACACACGTTCTCTCTCCTTTTTCCAGGGTACTTTTCTTTGGAGCTGGTCTACGACCCGAAGGCTCCCCCCGGCTACAGCACGGGCGGGCCATTCCAGTACCTCGGGCTCACTCTCAGCTCCACGCTAGCCACGATCGCCTACAAGGTGGACGCTGCGGTAAGTTTTTTATGCGGACCACCGCCCTAGGCAGTTTTGCCAAAAGGGGGTATGCGTATTATGATAGGGGAATAATTACCGTGTCGGTTTGTGTGATGCGTCAGTGGCGAGGGGTTGCTTTGTTTCCTTTTTTTTTTCGTAGGGATTGGATTCGATCCGATTGATCCATGTTTTTGTTTTTGTGTGTGTGCGCATGTAACCATCCCTTGTTCGTGGTGTGGTTGCGGCAGCCAGGCACTACCTCACGCCCTATTAGTGGTATGTTCCCTTTTTTGTGCACGACCCCTACTTTGAGGTGTCGTTGTCTCACGCCCTAGCGGTATGACCTAACCCCCCCCCCTCCCTTTTTTTTTTCGTGCACCGACCCCTACTTGTGTCAGGGGGGTACGGTGGTTCCCCACTGGTTCGGGACGAAGGATTTCGTGGAGGCGACCTCTCCCAGCGGTACCACCGTAAGGGTCAAGGAGGGGAAACGGCGGGACCCCTTTTCAGTAGTGGGGTTCGGCACACAGTTCCCGGACAAGGCCACGGCCTACTTCCACGTAAGTTAGCTCAATTGAGGGGAGGGGGGGGGGGGGGACAGCTCAATTGCCGGGGGGGGGGAGCGGTGTACTCATAATTCGGCATGCCGTAGTCGTTAGAACGTTGACCTCGCACTCCTATGAAGCCGGGAAAGAGCACGCCGGGTTCTCACCGGACCAGGTTCTCACATCACCAAGCGCGAAGCGCCGTGAGGATTCGGCGCATCGCATCGAGGGGGGTCCGTGTTTGCACCCGTACCGCGTACTCATCGAATGAGACTTGTTTTAGTAGTGTTAGTAAGGGAGACAAACGGCCACAGCGGAAATCGATTGCTACTCGAGGCAGCAGAAACGTAATGGATGGTTACTCGCAGCAGCAGCAACGTGAGTGGCCCGTACCTAGAGGGCGAGAGTCGTAGACACGAGCGCTAGTCAACGCCGCCAAAATTGTCTGCTTGGATGGACTATCACGGTGTGCATCGCCC